TGGATCCTTTTAGCATAGTCATATCGGAACCATAGTTATGGACTTATTGACAATATCATAAATGCACCTTCCGTGTGTGACCACAGGGGGGCGGTATCACTCACATCACTTGTCTCTAGCATCGTGTCTTGCATCAAAACAAACACAGCATCAGAATGTCCACCATGTAAATTCACCAGGTTCAAAGGGTGAGTATGGAACGTCCAGTATGATGTCATCATATAATCATTTAAAATAAATTCAGTTTTAATTTTTAGTTAAACATTTTTCTGACCTAATTACTAAAGCTCAAAATGTTGTAACCCCCTTTTCATGTAAACATTTGATGGTGAAAACGTGCTGTGCCATAAGTTGGAAGATTTCATCGTATTTATCTGTTAAATGGTTCGTGCATTAGGAGATGTACGTTCCATTAGTTTGCCGGTTAAAAGTAGTAACAGTTGTAACCCTTCCTGCTTTCGGCCTCCAGGACTGTAGTCGAGTGGCGCAGGGGAGGCTGATGTCCGCTCCAGGGCCGATGATGCAGTCCGCCTCGGGGTTATCTCCCTTCACCGTGATCTGTAGCAGCGAGCAAGGACACTCGGGCAACTTCCTTGGAAACCAGACTTTTTATTGTCACTTTCCCTCAACATGAACAATATTCGGTAAATACTCCGGTTGAATTCCACTGTCTGTCTTTTCACACTCCGTTCACTCTCTCCAACCTGCTCATACTGACCTCTCGTCTACTACGTCCATACGTCACACGCTCTCCCTCGACCACACCTCCAGCCACCCACACACACACACCCCATACGTACAGACTGTTCACCGGTTATTCACACATGTTCTACGCCATTCACGTAACACTACCCCCACTCTGGATGGCAATAACATGTTAATTCCTCTCCAGCATATTACCACACCCAAATTTTGTTAAGCAGATGCACAATCCTCGTTTGTTCAGTCCAGATAAGAGGATCCAGGCTGCCATTACTGTAAAAGTCCATCAGGTTATACCCCAGTAGTAAACACATAGCAGTACTAGTATGCTAGAGGTGACTAAACAAAACCCTGAGAAATGCATTAATAGCACCCATCACACAGGGTGTAACTTAATCTGAGCTGTATTATAAGGCAATATGAGCTTAACTAAAACCACCAAACATCATCAAAGTTTCTTTCATAAACAATAAACACAGAGTAGGCAAGATACAGGTTTGAACATATAAGAAATAAAGCTATCATTTAACTTGACCACCACTAACATTATGGAATCCAAACTTTAAAGAACACTGTGGTGCTCAAACTCTCATTGTCCATAACAAAAATAATCAGTGGACCACCCATTCCCCAAACCTGTTAGGTGACCTCCGACGGCGTCCCTGCCTTTGAGAACGTTGGCTCTGGAGGTGGTGCTCCCAAACATTACCCCCACTATGCCAAAAGTCCACCGGGGAGGGAGACTCAGAGGGGGCCGTAATGGAGGGAAAGGAA